AATTGCCCTCATGCATGTATGGATGTTTGTCATGATCAAGATGGAAATGTGAATGAGCATGTGAATTATGTGTCAAACAATAATGATTCTAGGTTTTAGAATCAAAGAAGTCAATGGAATAGGAATTACAACGACCATGGGAATTTTGACAACTCTAACCAAGGTGGTGGTAATAGGAACCAAGGAAACCAAAATTCCCGAGGTAACTATAACAACCAAGGTTATAGTAGCCAAAATCAAAACCAAAATTACGGTTATCATAACCAAGGTTATGGCAAACATAATCAAGGTTATGGTCAAAATCAAGGAAGAGGTATAATCAAGGTTATGGTAAAAATCAAGGAAGAGGTAATTGGAACAATCAAAATAGGAGAAATTTTCAAAACAATGCTCAAAAGGGTTCCCCACCCGGATTTTCTCCAAAGACCCAAAATGATAATTTTTATATTCAATCTTCTTCTTCTTCTTCTTCTTCTTCTAGGACCAACTTGGAAGAAATCATTGAAATCCAAACCAAGTTGTTGAACACTTATATGGCGGCGAGTGACAAGAAGTTTAATGAAATGATGACCTACAATAAGATGCTTGAAAAACAAATCTCTCAACTTTCCAATGATTTGAAAGACTATGCAAGCCCTTCTTCTTCACCTTTTCAAGGCCTAGACCCTAAGAGACTCGTTAATGCCATAGTAACAAGGAGTGGTAAGGTGCTTGAGGAGAGTTTGTCGATTTTAACGAGGCACAGTCTTCGATTTTAACGAGGCACAGTCTTTGATAATGGACATCCAAGGGGAACTGTTATGAAATATTTAGAGATATCCATTATCCTTCTTATATCCTTCAGGAATATTCTAGATCTATGGTTTATATTCTGATCTAACCAAACCCTAATTACATTGTATGCATATATATACCCCATCCTATATAATAAAGATATACAGATTAATTCTCTCTCCATCACTCATATTTTTTCGTCATTTGTACTCCCTCCGTTCCATAATGATGTTTTGTTTGGAATCTTTGACTTTTTTTTTAAAAAAAAAAGAGAGAACCTTCTAAATTTCTCTTAATCTATAAGAACTAACAAATATATTCATGTGGGATCTAGTTTAATTTGTCTTGGTGAGTAGATTATTAATATTTAATATTTATAATTTTTGCTAGTGTGAGATTAAAGATATTTGCGATCAAAGGTAAGTAAAAACTTGCATCGATTTACGAAACAAGAACATCATTCTGAAATGGAGGGAGTATGTAGTATCAAAATTAGGGCTGGCAAACGGATCAGGTCGGATCGGGTTCGTGTTCGGGTCACTTGATTTCGGGTCAGCTACCCTCCATCCCGAACCTGACCCATTTAACTTTTCGGGTTGAAAACCCCAACCTGAACCTGATATTTTTAGGTTCGGGTCAACCCGAAATTGACCTTATTTGACCTGACTTTTTACTTGGGTTAAAATCAGGTTTCTTTGACCTGAAATCAACCCGACCCAAACCTGATATATTCAGGTTCGGGTTTACCCAAAATTGACCTGAATAATTTTTTTTCATTTAAAACACTAGTTGTTCAGAGGTTAAGCGTTTTAATTCAAACCAAAATTAAATAGCGTAGTTTAACAAAGTAACAATCCTAATTAACGATTACAAACAAGTTTTTTTATAACACAAATTACAGTTCTCAAACAATAATTGAAGATGCAATAAGATTTTCATTTGGATTAAGATCGAGCGATGTTGTGCCTGACATCCTTGTTCACCACGGACACCACCTCAAGCTTCAAGATTAATCACACAACATTTCCAATTGAATATGGGTGGCTACTTCTTGCTGCCAAACCTATAAAGCAAACCAACATTAATATAATTAAAAGTTTAAAACATGCATATGATCTAAATAAGACTAGATCTAACTAGTAATCCAAGATACAAATTAAAACATGCATGCTCATGAAAAACAGAAATCAACAACAAATGTTAGCAAGAATAACCATAACATAAACAACATTTAACAATAAAAATTGGCATTAACATTCAAAAATTAGCAAAAACAATCGTATAATAACATAAACAACAACATTTAACATCAAAAATTAGTAATAACATTTGAAAATTAGCATGTAAAAACCAAAATAAACGAAATCAGGTAAATATAAAATTTATGAAGCAAAATACCTTGATTGATGAAGGAGAGGAATTGAGGAATGCGTCTCGCGAAGGAGTGAAGCAGTCACGCCGTGAAGGAGATGATGAAATCTCGAATTCTACAATGGTAAAGTACTCGGATCAACAATGGCGAATGGATATAGGGATTCTGAGGAGAGAGAAAATTTAAGAGAGAGAAGCAAGGGGAAAACGGCTGAAGAAATGAGGGGAAAAAAAAGATGGTTTTAGGGTATTGAATAAGGAAGCCTGGCCTCTTTATGAATTTGGGCTGGGCTAATAGGCTTTTTACGTTTTTGTTTTAATACTTAAATAGTTCGGGTTTTCAGTTCGGGTTGACCCGACCTGATTTTGACCTGAAATTTATTTCGGGTTTAAGTGGGTCAATTTCGGGTTGAGATTTTCAACCTTAACCTAACCCATTTAATATCGAGTTCGGGTTCGTGTCGACCCATTTAAGTTTTCGGGTCGAAAATCTCAACCCTAACCCGCTTTTTTCAGGTCGGGTTCTGGTCGTGTTTTCAGGTCGGGTCAATTTTTGCCAGCTCTAATCAAAATAAAAAGTGTTTTATATTATTTATTTTAAAATATTGTTCAATGTATCCACGTGGCAGAAAAAATCAAATGCCACGTGATCGATTTAGGCCCTATTCTTTTAAGCTTCAGGGCAGAGCAGAGCAAATTAAATTTCAGCAGAGTAGAGCTGATTTCAAGATAGCAGAGCACAGCCGAGCCAATCAGAGCAGATTTCAACATTATTATTATTATTATTATTATTATTATTATTATTATTATTATTATTATTCTTATTATTATTATTATTATTATTATTATTATTATTATTATTATTATTATTATTATTATTATTATTATTATTATTATTATTATTATTAAGTGCATATACCATTGATTTAGGTGAGTGAAAACATAAATAAATGTGTATCATATTTAATATATGTTAATAGTAGAAAGATAAAAGACAACTGTTTACTTATATTTATTTCACAAAAAATTTTAAATAAAATGATTTAATGAGTAATAATAATTTAACTTATAAATATGTCTTAATCATATATTTTTAACCGTCAAAATAATAATGATATATAAAGTACTACTTGAAATAACTTTTTTTTTTAATTCTTAAATTGTATGGAAAGATTTGAACAATAATTCAACTCAATGAACTAACAATCAATACCCAAATAAAATGTTTCCACACATTGTGATTCTAATATCAAATGTTTATAAAAAGAAATTGTTATTATTATTATTATTTTTTTTTGAAAGAATTGTTACAACTATTAGAGATTATTAATTAATAATATTATTAAATATTAATTTTTAATATTTTGAATTATTAAATATTATTATTGATAATTATTATTATGATTAATAAATATTAATTATTATTCAAATTAATAAATTATTATCATCAATACAATATTAATTATTATTATTAAATATTAATTATTATTTTAAAATAGAACAGAGCGGCAGGACAATTCCAAACCTCCTTAAAATCAAAATTGAAAGGGGGGTGTTAAATACCGCCATCCAAAATGATCAAAACTGCCCTCATTTCAAGCAAAATGCCGTTATTACCCTTATTAAACCCTAATTATTTTTTAGTTTATTTTTTACCCTTTTATCTTTTACTGCCCCATCAAACACCACAACCACCACAATCACACAATTAATGACCACAATCAGCGGAAGGCGGCAGTAGGCGGCAGTGGTCTGGTGTTTTCATGGCCGGAAATTCGAAAAAAGAGGTTAGTTTCTCTGTTTTTTTCTGTATTTTTTTTTTTAAAAAAATTCGATCGCGGGCAACCGGCGTGTAAAACCGATTGGCCAACTGCGGTTACCGGCGATCGGAACCGGTTAACGGTAGCGGCAAACCGGTTTACCACGCCGGTTAGGTACCAACGACCACAGTGTTGGTTTTTTTTTATTTTTGTTTTTTTTTTAAATTCGAATTAAGGTTACCGGCGATTGTAACCGTCGTTGTTAACCGGCGTGGAAAACCGGTTGACTGTCACCGGCAAACGACAACCATAACCGGTCAACGGCGGTGGTTACAGGTTCACAGGTCACCGGTAACAAGTGGAGTGGAGTGTTATGAAATCATTGTTCTTCTGTTTGTGTTATCTGATGCTTTCCCCTACGTATTTGCTAATTGATGAACTGCATGATTGTATGCTTTCTTTGCTCTGGAATCATTGTTCCTACTTGATAAATCTATTGTGAACTTGGGGTTATGTTGTAGATGAGTGAAGACCAATTAGAGTCTGAGTTTGTTTGGAAAACCTGAGGCTTAAGAAATTACTCACAAGGTTCAAACCTAGAGATAAAAGTCCAATCTTTTTTCACAGACCATAAAAAAATCAAAGAAAAGAAAGTGAAAATGGTGGAATGAGTAACAGTACCTAGCAGCAAAATGAGGCATAAAATGGAGAGAGAAACAAAACTAATGTTGTACCACCAGCAAGTAAATTATAACAATAATTAAGTTGAAATGTAATTATCACTATATAAATCCATTGTAAATAACCAACTACAAGTCATTTCAGGCAAATATTGATTCAAATTTCTCATTCTATAACAACATAATTGTGTCATTTGCATATATATCTGAATTTCAATTACAATGGACTCACTTTTAACATATACAATCTACCTTGGACTAAATGTTTTTTTCCCTAATGAAGCGTCCAAATGTCCTACGCGAGTGCCAATGCTAGACTCTCCAACATTGGTAAGACCTAAGACTAAGACACTTGGACACTTAACATATTTTTTTCATAAGATAGCCAAATCGGATCCTTGGACATCTGCCATGGTTCAAGTAACATATTTTTAAATCATCAGAACAAAAATGGCCTATAAACAAAAGTTGTATAATTAAATTCATATTACATTTCTCATATATTAATTTCTGATTTTCTCAACAGCTAAACAAGATAAACACATAATTAAACTTAAACTAAAAATAAATAAATACGGAGCACAACACAATTTTTCCAGTGACACACAACATTCTAGCATAACAACAAACAAATGCAGTACTAATTAATCTATGTCAAAATAAAAAAAAAACAACAAAAAAATGCAAAGCGACAATTGCTAATTACACAATGCTAACATTAATAATTTAATCAAAGAAATTACATAATTGTTACAATCAACAGAAAAATGGCAACAAAAACTCAGTGAGAGAATGACCTGAAAGGAGGACGGAGGAAAACGGAAGAATAAGGCAACAGGTAAAGACGACGAAGGTGAAAGTGGAAGGGATGAGCGAAGAGTGCTGAATATGCGCCGGAAAATGAAGGATAGTTGTATAGCGCTATTACCGGCGTTTTTTCTTCGGCGGCTTTTGCAATTGCTTCAAGGATAGTCGTATATGGTTTCTCTGATATCATGAAATTCCATTGGATCATAACGATCTCAAAACTAAAATCTAATCAAATTAAAAAACACAAAATCAATCACAATAATTAGGTCAAAATCAACCAAAAAGAGGGGAGAAAAAGAGGAACCAATCCATATTAACTCTTGTGCATAGCAGTTAAGAGATTCTTCTTAGGATTAAGAAGAGTCTTAAACAATGAAGATGAAACATTAGAAATCTCCATTTTCCTAGGTTTACTAAGCTAATTACCTCTCTTTCTCTCCCTAAAAATGAGGGATTTTTCTTGTTCTTCTGGTTCGAAGTTCTTCCCAAATTGGCAGGATAATTTGCGCCAGATTGATGGAAAAAAAATTGATGGGAAAAAAACCTTAAAGCAAGGCATAAAATAGATATTTTTTGTAGTTTAGCAACAATAAACCCTAAATTGTGAAATTGATATAACACTATTACACAAAGATCAGAAAATATCTTTACCTCAGTAGCGGTGTCGACGGAAAATAGATAGACATACCAGAAGCCGCAAAAATGGAGAACTCAGAAGTACGATTCCATGGAGGAGGCTCACTGAGAGTATGCTTCTAGTGTTCTCAAACGAAAAAATAAGAGGATGAGAGTAAAATCAGGAAAAACAAAGAAAGGAAGAGTTAAGGTTCAGTGGCAAGACCGCAAATAGCATCCCAAGCCGAGGGTAATTGCGAAAGGACACTGTCCTACTGTTCATAAGGAACAGTTCCACATATCTTCTCTCTTTTTAAAGAGTGTAGATTTTTATGTTTTGTGTCATGAGATAATGTAAGAAGACATGTTTTGTCTAATTTTAGGTCTCTTGCTAATAGATCCAATTTTTTTTTAATAACGGGTCTCTTTTACCTCTTCCCATTTTTTCATGCAAAAATATAAAGGGACCGTACAATGTTAGAGACCTGTTACTTATTATACGAGGTCTGTTTTATTCAAAAGACCCGTTATATATTTGAACAGGTCTCTTAAAGGGGTCCCTTTGCCACTTCTTGTAGTAGTGTTTCTTTAAACAAACATGTTTATAATGTTGATGAGTGCTATTTATGGCACTCATTTGATGAGTATTTTGGTTGTTTTTACCTTCTTTTTATAGCTTTCTTTTTTAATAAATGCTTTCCCTTTTCTACCTTATTTTGTGTTTTCTTAGTTATTCTAGTGTTTTCTCCTCTTTTTGTGGTTGTAGGTGTTTCGGGTATTTTTTTTAGATTTCCTCAGATACTGGTCGCACTCTCCGGGCAATGAGACTTGGACACCTGCAAAATAAACAAATATTCCTTTACCAGAATATTCTCCTCTGACGATCAAGTTAGAGATTTGAAACGGAAAAGGCTGGAGAGAGAAAGTAGACAGATTTTGGAGCTATTCAATGTTTTTTTGTGTAATGTCATAATCCACCCCTTCCATCATAAATGATTGGGGTATTTATAGAGGTGGGAGTTTGTGCCCCTCTAGGGTTTGTACCCTAATTCTCCGTGATATGATTGGCTGTGCAATCAGGAGGTGCCACGTGTAGTATGGAGGCGCTATTTTGCGGCTTTCATGAATATCTCTCGGGATTTGGGCCATAATATAAGAAGGCCCTTTTTAATGCTGATTTCAGGTGCTCTTTTAAGCCTTAGACACGCGTCATCTTCCCATAGTGACACGTGTCGCCCTTTAATGTGGCCATGTTTCGCTACGGGATTGGTCCACGTACATGGGGTATTTTATCCTAAATATTTACCCCTCAAAGGGGGTGGCTCATACGCTAACGATCGCCTCCTCTGAACTTTCACCTGTCTTGAAGCGTACGGGTATACGAAGATTGGATATGCTGTTGAGGCGCATAAATCTGCCCCCCCCCCCCTTTTAGTTAGTCGTCTTAGGCTTTGTAATCTATCTTTATTCGCCTGAAACTCCTTTAGAGGACACCTAGGTCAGAGAAATAGGCGGACGAAGTATGCCGCCTGAATTTTCGGGGGGAGAAATCGGACGCCTAGATTTTTGGTTGGATACCTTAGTCCCGTTTACATTGACCATCCATTTGAATGTGCCATTATCCGATCGTCTCTTTTTTTTGTCATCTTAACAGCACTATCTCTTCACCCATTTGAATTCTAGGTTACATTTTCAAATTTTAACCGTTTGAATTTTGTAGGCGGGAAGATGAATTTACTAATATGCCCCCATAAATTTTGCATATGTATATATATATACAGGGGGTTTGACCTCATATTTACACTTTGGAACTTTGCAAATTTTAGAGAGAGATCAGAGCTTTTAGAGAGAGAAAGTGTTTTTTCTTTGAATTTTCAAGAGCTCCGCCGTGTAATTGAGTTTTCTGGGCATATTTTTGACCTTTCCGGTCAACTTTCAAGACTTCTCAAGAACTCCTCGAGTTTTCTACACGTACGAAGGTAGGCCGCCTATTTTTCTTACCCTTTTTTACTTGCATTATTTTTCTTTTGCTTTTTATTTTTTAAATCTGGTCAACACTCGACTTTGTCTATTTCTCCTCACGAGGCCCGTCGTTCTCCTGAGACTGAGGAGTCTAAAGTAGACGGAGACAAGTTGTCTCCTGCATGGAGTGGGTCCATTTCTAGTGCGTACCAACTCTCCTCCACCTATTCTTCTCTGTCCCTACAGTCGGACATGGCAAGAACAATGCAAACGCATGATCGTTATGCTGCCAGAAATCTAGACGATAGTCTGGTAAATCCTAGCACCCCTTATGACCCAAATAACACTGACATAGAAACTAGGTCTACTACTCCAACGATCGCTTCCACAGGTACTAATTACTCGGCCTTGGAAGTAACTTGTTCTTTTGAAGAGCGCCAATGTGCACAGGGCGTCTTTTCTGCTGTTGGGGTGTCAGGGCCAACCCCAGAACCTAGTTCCTTACAACAGGCCAACTCGGCCTTGCAATCGGCCGAGTTGCTATCTCGTGAGAGGCCTCCTTCCCTTTCTTGGGCGGCCACTACTTGTCCGTCAACCTCAGCTCCTGCACCATCCCATCTCCAACATAGCAAGTCAGATAGACCTAGAGTGGGAATTTCCATTAACGAACTGTCCGACCTGCCCCCTTGTAGCGGCCCTTTTTCTGAAAATAGGGCAGCCACTTTCAAAGATAAGGGTAAAGGTCCCTTAGTGCCTGAAGAATCTCCTTCAGTAGGGGGCGGCCATGTCTCAAGGAGCCATAGCTCAGCTGAGACAAAGTATTGTCCTCTGAATTTGGGACTACCCCTCGCCAAGAGGACAAGGAGGTAGAGAATGAGGCGGAGGCTGAAGGCGAGACAACCGAGGAAGAGGCGGCGGCCGAGGGTGACGTTGCCAACATTGACAATTTCAAGGACCCTTACGCCTATACGGTGGGTAGCACAGCCATGGTCTACCTTAATGACGGGTTCGACAAGTACAAGGAGTTCCTCCATCTGGGAGAGGTTTTTGAGTTGGTGGTGTAGACACCTACTTTTGGCCTCTTGTCCCGAAAGGAAGTGCGATGATGTTACAAAAATCCGTTCTTCATGTTAGATCAAAGTTGAAGTGTTTATGGACTACGAAAAGCATTACAAAGTAAGTTAAAACCCATATTTGAGACCAAGTTATCTTAGAGCCTTGTTCGATTACTAATTAGGCCTAAAACGTGTTCATACATGTTTAAACTTGATTAATAACGGACCTAAATGCGTCAAATGCAATGATTGGATCCAATAGAACCTATATTGTTGAAATACGAGCCAAATAGATGAAACAAATATCAAATTCCCATGCAAGCCCTATACAGATGGATAGCCCTTTCAAAGATATTTCCAACGATATGTTATAAGCCCAATTCCGAGCCAAAACGAAGAAGTTATGATCAAAACACCTAAACTGGGCCCTAAAACCAATACCCTTGCACTCCAACGGCCATAACTTTTTATCCATAACATATTTTAACTTAATTCTAACATCATTGGAAAGTAGACATTCATAGCTTTCCAATTATATCTCACACGCCTTAATCCAACTCCGCAATCAAAAGTTATGGAAGTTTTAAAAACGCGTTTTCATATAAGGGAAACCGCAAACCAGTAGGGGATGTTTGAAACAAGTAGCTATTAAGGCTAGAAAAAAGTGTTTCCTAGTCTTAACGCGCTAAAGAATCTAGATTGATCCTTTACAATTGTAGAACACTTTTACAAGTAAAGGTGTTCTGGGTGATGTCAACTCATGACAAGATATCGGTTTTAAAAGGATAAAAGGGGATGTTTCTTCTGAATCGTTTTATCGTTGGTCTAAAGTCCCTCGATATGTCATTGAAACTTTAGCCTGACTTTAAAAAAGTAAAAAATATGAAAAGGGGTTTTTGGAATTCGAGCCGAAATGGTCCGGTATTCGAGCCGGATGTCCACAAGATAGAAATACATGTCACAGGACTGGAGGCATATATCCAAATCCAGTGAGAGGGAAGAAAGTCATAAACTCTCTCTGCACTTTTGTCCACAAGATGAGTACACGTGTCTCAAGACTGGAGGCACGTGACTACATAGGCGCGACATCGTCTCGTCGCTTCTTTATACAAGGGGTGATTCGACACCCTAACTGTCTGATAAGCTAGTAAGCTCACTAACTACCGTATTTGCTTCCATTCAAGAAGTGCCTGTTCCTAATGGTTCGGTGCGCCTGTCGATTTGTGAGCTAACGCCTACAGTAATTCTCTATCTTTTAGTTCCGAGAGGTAGATCTCGCAAAGCTTGGGCTGAAGTGAAATTTTATGCAACACCTACGCAGTACAATTTTACGCCGTACAATACGCCATTTGCATTTTTACGCTGCATGAAAACATCTTCATTTTTTCTTCGGACGTGAAAGAAGAAGAAAACCCGGAAATTTGTAATGTCAGTACAGTAAAATGACAAACCTGTCTATGGGTGCTTTTACGTAAAGCACCACCACGGAACGTCTTAAGGCACACTTACGAAAAACGTTCAAAACGTATGCTTGGGGAAGGCACAAAGCACGGTGTGCATGCAATATGATGCAAAAAACTATTAAAGAAGGAAATAAACTACAGAATGCAAAGTAATTTAAAAGATTTTGATAATTTGCGCGTCATTACGTCTAATGACGAGCAAAAAATGTTCAAAAATGATCAAACGGATCAAAATCTGGATACCGGTGATTTTAGTGACCATATTCGGGCGCAACTCAGTAGGTCGCGCTGGCCAGGTGCGCGCATCTTTCTGAGTTGCGCTGGTATTTCACGCGCGACTAATTCAGTTGCGCACGACATTTAAGTCAGCAAAACGAGAATCGCTGAGCGTGATTTTTCATTTCTCTTTCTCACTCCTTCCTTCACGATTTTCGCTTCTTTCTCTCTCTAAAGAGCTCGGATTTTCTTGTTTTTCAAAGCTAAAGGAAGTAGATCTCGTCCCTTATTCATATTTACCATAATTCGTTCATTCTTGGCTGAATTTGGGCGATTTTCGAACCGTTAAACCCCAAATTTTGAATTTGGGGGTTTTTTATTCAACTTGTTTTCATGAATTTGTTTGTTTGTCGTTGTGACATTTTTAAGCAATATATTGCAATAAATTTCATGTGAAGTGATAAAGTATTGATCCTGTATGAGCATGTCAAGCATATATGTGTTTTTTTG